CCTACCTCATCCACTTGGAGAGAGAAGGAACGACCACAGGCCAGATCTCTGATTCTCCAGACCTAGCTCTACCAGGAGGTCTGATGGCTTCAGTCAAAATGCAGACCTCCTCAGCCTACCACCGCAGAGGGGTCCCATCTCTGCCCTCCACCTTGCAGATAAAATCCTTCAACCGGTTGCGTGGTTGCAACAGTGTCACCCTGGCCTGGATGGGCACAGAGGAAAGAAGCCTGTACTGCGTGTACCGTAGAAAGCTGGGAAACCATGAAGCAGAGGCTGGGGGTCTAACTGCACCCTGTCTGGGGCCAGAGTCCCGCTCTGACACAGAGAGGGTTCTGTGCAAGTATTTCCAGGAGCTGAATCCTCGGCGGGCCGTCACTACAGCTGTGATCGGGGGCCTGGAGCCAGGGATGGCCTATGTGTTTGATGTCTATCTAATGAGACGCTGGGGGATCCCTATCAAGTACGCCAGCAAGATGGTGAAGACCAGAAAGGAATGCTGAGCTGCCGCCCCCTACAGGAGGTTTTTAGACTGTCCCAGTTCAGGGGAAAACGTATCAGCCATGGACATGCTGTAAAGACTGACCATGAGAACGAAGCCATTTGACTGTTGTGGAGAGACTGTTAACAAAACAAGGAAATATTCCCTCTGGCGGAGCAATGGTTATATTCAAGCTCCACTTGCATTATCCATGCAAGTGGATGGAAAGCATATGGAGAAGGATCTGCACACCAGCAAAAGTTCATAACATTTACAATACAACTCTTGTGCTTTTGTCATTTTGTTTCATTGTTGATCATGATAATGACATGCCAGTTGTCCAAGTGCTTATTTCGTGTGTGAGTACAAAGGACAGATGAGGTTTGTGATGACAGAAAGTCAATATAAAAACAACAACAGAGACTGTGCCAAATATGCAACAGAAACAGATGGGGCAATAATTGGATAACATCTGAGACACGGGGGTTTGCAGCGTATATCTCCAGTGCTGCATATTGTACAGGCTTATAAACACAGATGGATGCAATCTACAGATGCTTAGTTCAAAGTCAGTGTGTATCTTTGTGTTCTGCTTTCGCATGAAGCAGTGAAAAATACTTAGTGACTTGCCTCATTGTCTTTGATGTATTCCTGTGCTGCTTCAAACACACCAATAAATACTGGGGTATCTGTACGTTCTTCACCGAGTGATGCATGTATGTACACATTTTTTCATATTAAGCTGCTTTGGTGACATGGAGTGTCAAATATGGTTTCGCTGCTACCAAATTGTTTTCAGATAGCTTCCGTGTTTACTGTAATAGATGAGGCCTTGTATGGCTTAGCGTCATACTAATTGTGACATTTAATTATAGGGAGACTAAACATGTTTTTTTGGAAACTAGATGGGGCTGCACAGCAAAGACTCAGGTTGAAATATTACAGGGAAACTTAAATATAGTTCCCAAATGACTGTGGCATGAAGTAGCCCTGCCTTGTCAGGTTATCTTTCTTAAAGACAAATCTCTCATTTGGGTGTCAAGTAATTACTCATTTATATTCACCAAGTAGAAACCCTAAAACGGCATAAAACCGATGAAATATTACATCAGACATCACTGCACTATTTTGGCTGTATAATTGTGAATATGTACTGTAAAATATATATTCAGAATAGTTTGGTTTAGGATTGATTTTACAACAATGTGAGTTTAAAATGTTAAGGAGGGGGTTAAGTTTAAAATAAAATAAATTCTAATTGATTGTCCATTAATAATAGGAATTGGGATTACCAGACTCTAGAGGCTATATGGCTGATTTGGTAGGCTTTCATGAAGCACCTAGGATAACTCCATTAAATCAACAACATATAGGCTACAGCACAACATATTGACTTCACTTTTTTTAAATTATTCATATACAAACAAATACAATAAGAATATACGTTAAATAGTAACAACTTCTATATGTTGTACAGTAAAGTTTTCAAAGATTTTAAAACAAAACCAGTCATAATAAATCCTCATTACGTAGTCTGACGAATTCGACAACGGGAACCAATAAGAGGGCGTTTGGGTTTGTTACGTAAGCACGTCGCAGTACGTACGGATGTGTCTGACAGCCCAGCGCGCCAAATTGATACAGCCAACAAAGGGAACGCAGAAAACAGCCCTTCAGCATTAGTTAACCACAAAACGTACCTCTTAAAGTCACTTCAGACACTTGATAACTCGGACTAACGTTACTCGGTCAGAATGGGTTTACTGGAGCGGTGCCAGGAGCTCTTCAACACCCCGAACCTGTACGAGGTGCTGGGCATCAACAAGGACGCAACAGAGACAGAGATCCGGAGGAGCTACTACAAAGTGTCGCTCAAAGTCCACCCAGACCGGGCTCCTGAAGACCCGCTGGCTACACAGAAATTCCAGGTCCTCGTTGTTAGCTGTCACACACACACACACACACACACACAAGCTAGGTTTACTAAGATTAGCTACCTAGATAGCTAACTTGGATAGCTAGCTCCCAGCAGCTAACTGCAGTAGTTGCAGTCATCTCCTACTCCCCCCTGTGTAAACAAGTCCCATATAATCATAGAGACTGAGTGAGGTTATGTTGCAGCACAAGTAGAGACGTTTTTGAACATTATTTAGGTGCAATATATCCTTGTTGTTTACCTGTATGTTTTGAAAGACCTCGCTCCCTTTATTTTGGTTGCTGGTCTTCCAATTGCATTACTCTTCAGAAAAAGGTCCCACATATCCAACCATATCAACCAGATATTAGCAGTAAGACTGATATAGGCTACTGTATATTGTCATTCCTTTCTTTCAAAACTCAGTTGAGGAACTGTGTAGATCAAATAACCAGATCTTTTTGGTGAATAAAATACCAAACAGATGATAATCCAGTAATGCCTGGTACAAAATGACATTACCCATTATTATCAGCTAATACAACCAGAGATAACAAAGGAATAGCATCCATTGTATAAAAGATATGTCCAAAAGCTGACAAGTGACTAATAAGTAATGGCCACAGTTTATCAATAGCCCAATGCGTCTACAAATCCTCTTTTTATATTTCTTGTATGAAGCGTATAATAATAGTACATGCCATACATTACAGTAAGGGCTGCAGAGGTGTACAATGTTGAGTCTGACGTCATGTTTTTTTCCCCCTCCAGGTGTTGGGAAAGCTGTATGCGGTGCTGAGCGATAAGGAGCAGAGGGCTGTTTATGATGAGCAGGGGGTGGTGGATGAGGAGTCCGACGTCCTGAGTCAAGACCGCTGCTGGGAAGACTACTGGAGGCTGCTCTTCCCTAAGGTATTGAACACAGCACGTGTTTTCTGACTCCATAATGAGTCCCATTGCTTGGTTATATGTGACAATGTGACACGTGGACTGAGTCACTTGTATTTCCAGGAATTTAATTGTGGATGGGGATCAAGGTTATTGTGTCACTTAACAGCCTGTCGTACGTTTCCTTTGTCTTGACAACCTGTTCTGTCACTGCATCCATCCCCCTAGATTACAGTGCAGGACATCCTTGAGTTTGAGAAGAAGTATAAGGGCTCTGATGAGGAGCGGCAGGACGTAATCAAGCTGTATGTGCAGCACCAGGGAAATATGGATGCCATCACAGCCTCGGTTCTGTGCTGCTCCCAGGAAGACGAGCCCAGGCTCTGCAGCATGATCCAGGCTGCCATCGAGAGCGGGGATGTCGAGGCATTCCCAGCGTTTACTCGGGAGAGTGACAAGAAGAAGAAGGCCCGTAGAAAGAGAGTAAGAAGAAATCCTTGCAGTGTATATTATATTTATTTTGTACATTTACAAACAGGACTAAGCTCTAGTATCTTACAACTTTGTCCAGTCTCAGTAATGTGCTTTTAATTGACCTTCCAGGCGGATAGAGAGCGACAAGAAGCAGAGGAAATGCAAAAAGAGATGGGGCTCGGTGATCAGGATGACAGTCTCGTGGCGATGCTTCAGGTAACAAATGCATGTGCACATGTAAACATTGGCAGGACGTGTTGTTTGTCCGTCGCCGTTTTTTTTTTTCTCTCAATAACCATTTTTCTTTCTTATTTTCCAGCAAAGACAGAAGTCCAGAGAGCAGAATTTTAACGGTTTCCTGTCTGACCTGGAAGCAAAATACGCCAAAAAAAGTGGAAAATCCCAAAAAGCAAAGAGAGGAAAAAAGTGAAAAGCATAGAGGCTCTGGTTATAGCAGATAAAATGTACATACATTATAGCAGGTATCATTTGTTAAAAAAACACCTTTTTAGATCAGTAAGAGTATTTGAATACGTGTATGAGCAGCTGCCTAACTGCTCCCTTCTGCGTGCCCCCTCAGAAAACTGTCCTTTATCGGGCCTCTGTAGCTTTTTATGTGAAGCTTATTAAAATGTAAATGCATCTTTTATTTCTTGTCTTCATAAACATGAATAAATTCATATTTATATACATCATTTGTACACAGCTTTTTTTATTCTTTTGCATAAAATAGAATAAAAGAAAATGCACTGAAGAAAAAGCTTTGATTTTCAAGCTTTGTCACCTTTGTAGCATGGCTATCTGATATAATATAATTATGAATCAAAGGAAAACTACCCTTTGTGCAGTAACCCTGATTTTACCTGTCAAAGCTTCCACACATGGCTTTGCTCGGATAAGAAAAAAAAATGACCACAAGTAGTATTCTGTACAGACACAATAAATGAATCCCTTAGTTATTTACATACGCTCTGCCTCTTGTATCCCTACATTATTGTGAGATGTGCTAGTAAAAGCACATTGGGCTGTAGAAATGTTTTGTCAGTGCTTATACAGCCATCACATTCCTGCTCCTGATATGATATTAACAGAGCTTTAATGGAGAGGCAACCAAAAGGTGGCATCTCTTGTTCCTGTGTGCAATGAGAAGCTCTGAGTCGATTTCTTTTTTTTTTTTTTTTTTACAACAGGAGCGGGTTAAAGGGTTGTGTCCTTACAATAAAAGATACAGTAAGCCAAACTCCTCCGATGTAGCATCAAGAGAGGGAAAAAAAGTGCTTTTTATCTCTATATACCCTGTCTGGGTGGATGTGTTATTCCCTGGCATAGTCATTTACCAGTAGCAACAACACACCAGAGGATAGTAACAGTACATTCATATATAAATAGATATATACACATTCAGATCATACATACACAGTAGAAATGTCCACACATACAGCCCATACTGTACATGAAGATGGAGTTACTGTTGACAGTTTGTTTGGCAGCCACATAAGCTGATTTCTGAAATACAAAAATAGGCCTCTAACAAAAACTTCACCAAAGCAGCTTAATATGAAAAAAAAAAAAGTCTGCTACTTCTGTAAAAAAAAAAGAAGAAGAAAAAGTTTAGAGGTCACAGATGCTGCAGAGTGTTGCACTTTATTGTGCTTTATAAAGATGAATGGCTGAAGGGTCTGAAGATCGGAGGCAAACTACAAGCCAGGTCTGCTGGCTCTAGATGAAATGCCTCCCCGGGTGTAAGACCGAGGCGGAACTGACACAGGCACCAGCGGAGCTATGGGAAAGAGGAAGGATAAAAAGTTAATGAACATACCGAGTTAAATCATCTTACCAGTAAATCTTAACGTGAAGCCAGTCGCTGTAATCACTTTCATTCATAGTTTATCTGAGAACCAGGTCTGGCAGAGTTTCATCAGCCGCTTTAATCTACTGACCTGGGACGGGGACTTGTGGGTCTGGCTCCTCTTCATCTTTGATGGGCGAGTGCCCCAAGGGGTGGTGGGAAAACGAGTCCAAGAAAGATGAGCTGCTGATGCCAAGACTAATGCCGGTCACACCGATTCCAAGAGAGTCTGGTGGAATTAATGAATAAATGAATGCATAAGTGATGAGCTCATGTACTACAAAATCCATCAGGCACAGGGCATTCACAGTACAAGGACAGGCAAAACAAAGTAGCACAAAACAGGCAGCTGACAAGTGGGGATCTCAATATGCAGTATCAGTGATTTGATCAAATTGAAATTGCGAGTTGATTAAAAAAGTATATTTATATATTGAGTCAGCTATAACACCTGGACACCGCATGTTGACAGTGCAGGAAAACTAGTTAGCAAGCGCTACTCCAAGTGGTATTAGTGCAAATTAACTAAACCAACCTAAACATTGACAGTTCAGCTGTAAATTGAAAAAAACGTAACATTCACCATTCTATCCAACTTTATTATTGTAATAATATCTGGTTTAAAATCAGTTTGAATGACCACATTTTGAACACGGAGGGTGAAGTCGAGGTTCCTTGTGTTAATCTGACAGGGCTGTGGGGTCTGATAAAAAAAGGCTGGGAACCACTGCAGTACCTCACATTCCTTTTCCAGCAGCATTGTGTATGTTTTTTATTCAACTTCAAGTTGAATTTCTGACCTGTGCCCACAGACGCTCTGCCTGGCCGCCCCTGCCCGATGTTGTCCAATACTGTGAAGGAACGACGGTACGGAGTGTCTGACTGAAAACAAAAGCAGGGGTCAGACATACCGTCTCTAATACAACAAACACTAAAAAAATAACAGTCATTGAGCATAAAAACCACTTAAGCCCTTAACCTGATGGGGTAAAAAAGAAAAAGAACATTTTTGTGATATGTGCTGCAGGATTCTGTGATGATAAGGGGCATCTTACCCTGTATGTGTGAGTGGTGTTGGGGCGAGAGAAGACGTCCAGTAGGTGATGACGATCCCTCGGTACTGAACTGCCAGCTTCATCAATTATAGCACTGTGGGCGCGGCTGGACGGGCCTTTCTGACGCTGACCGAGCAGAAAAAATGGACAAAGACTCATTCACAGGTGGTTTACTTACTTGTTTAATCAGTGTTTGTGTTCAGCTGCTGTAATGAGGTTTCCATTGTCAGTGTAGTAGTGTTATGCTGTACCTGTGCAGGTTTGGACTGCTGCCCTGAGTGAGATGACTCTGGGTCTCCAGTGCTGATGGGGGGAAGGAGTGTGTTCCTACTCAGAGGCAACTGCGGAGATGTTAGGCGGTCGCTGGCTGTGGGTCTGTGGATGAAGACGCACACATAAATAAAGACAAGGAGTACAGATAGATGGATTGTTCTATGCTGCATCTATGCGCTAACGTACACTTCTTTCTGAAAAGACCGTGGGAGTTCACAGCTTAGGTGTAAGGATGAGAGTTAGAAAGTTAGAATTGTACTTCTTGTGATAGAGAAAAAATATCTCAAAGTATTTTCTTTTAAAAAGAAACACGCTCACTGTTTCCATTAAATATTTAGATACAGTAGTTGCTGAATTTTGAAGAAGAATTGAGATTAAACATTAAAGGCACACTTTACACTATCACCTGCAGTTCACGACAAGTTCATCTGTGAAGTCGGTTTCATACGTGAAACTTCTATCAGCCCCCGCCCCTGCGATTATTCTGCTGCACCGCCCCATAAGGCACAAGTTGAAAGAGAGTCTGCTTTCAAAGTAATCTCACTCTGCCTCTGCACAACTTCAGAGACCATAGGGGAGAATGAGAGAGTAAAAAGCTAGATAGGAGTTTAGGTGAGGCTGGCGGGGTTCTCACGATGCCAAAACTCACAGACGTGTCCCGCGGATGACCTCGTCCATGGATCCCGCTGCACAGGACAGGCTCAAGCTGGGAACCAGTGGCAGGAGGGTTCGGGGAGGAGGGTTTCTGCGTCGGGCAGACTGTGCAGGGCGGGACAGCGAGGAAGAGCTCTGCTCCAGGGTTCGGCGAGGCCGAGCTTTGCTGGAGGGGACAGCGCTGGATCCTGGTCTGTGACACGCTCGCTCTTCTGGCTCCCTGTAAGGGAAGGAGTGAGTGGAGCACAATCAATGAATGGTGCATTTCTATCTATCTATCTGCTGCCAACTGGCGGTTTACTCTGTCACACAAGGTGTTAAGACCAGGGACAAAAACATGGCATGAGTGAGGCGATGTCCCTCTCATTTTACAAGATGTGTTTACCTGTAAATGGAAAACAACAACTACAAGAACTATTCATTCCCATTCAAAAGATGAAATTCACATACTAGGAATACAAAAATGTGTGTCATTGTTTTGGCTGTTTGTTTTTATTTTCAATTTTGGCACCAAGGCTCATTGGTTAGAAGAGTAAAATGTGTCCATACTGGTTTCTATCTAGCACACCCAGGTTCCTCTGCTGCAGGGGGATGCTGTGGATCACGATGAGGTCGTTCAGGTTGTGCTGAGTCGCTGCCGCACCTACCGGTACCCTTCCAGCCTGGGGAGCGGTGTCAGATGCGGGGGGAGAAAGTAAAGAGACAGAGGGAACACGGGGGAGGGTAAAGGAGCGGGATGAAAGTAAAAAGATCCAAAAATACAGGAATGATTAAGGAGACAAGGACAGAGAGAGGTATGAGGGGACAAGAGACAAAATACAGGAGAAAAGACAGGTTAGAGACAAATAATGTATTTTATGAAGGCCACAGGGTTAGTTAAATGTACAATAAAGCATATTGTCTATCATCATGCAGTGGAGTAAGGAGGACCCCCATATCAGTTACGTCACCGACCAAAAATAACATTCACATTCACATTAACACTTAAAATGCAACCAAAGGAGCAACTAGCAAACAAAGCATTCCAACATTCTTGTTGTGAAAGAAAAGAAGTAAAGAAAACCAAAGTAGTTCATACGTTGCAGTTAAAAGATAAATGGTGGTGATGCTTTCGTGTTAATCAACAGGCACAAGCACATTTATTCTAGAGATAAAGATAATGAGCTGCCATTTTAGCTCAAAGTGAGGGAGTTACATACAGTGGAAGGCCTTTTCTGCTTTTTGGATTTCCGTCTGGACTTGTGCTTTGAGCCCCTTGACTTTGTGTTCTTTAAGGGGGAAAAGGCATGACCAAAGGAAGATGGTGGATATGGAAAGGAAGCAAGAAGGGTAAAGAACACAGAGGGAAATAAAGACAGAAATAAAAACATAGAGAAAGAAAGGACAAAAGACATTGGCAAGGTGAAGGGCAGAGAGTAAGGAGGGAGGAAAGAAAGAAAACAGTGATACAAGTTAATGAACAGGAAACACTGACAGACTGAAAGAGCAATAGGCAGGAATGCAAAGCAAAGACCTCACAGTTCATGATGCTGAGCAAATGTTATATACTCTTCTCAGGGCTGAAGTGACTGAGCTCAAACTTGATACGAACAGTTTTAACATCAGGGTGGGTGAAACCAGTATCGGTACACACTGGTGCCGTATTTATTACTAGTTAATCATTTTCACAATTTTCCTTCCATGTTATATATCTCAGTCATAATCAAATTGAAGAAAATTATCATCATGAAGTTTTGAATTGCCCTCCTGCACTGCCTTCAGTGATGAAAGTTAAATGAGGCTCCCAGACTACTCCCCTAGACACACCCTCCTGCTGCCTCTCAGCCCCCCTCAGACCACTGACCTGGAACTGCAGGCCAGATGTGAGCGGGGGCACCCTGCTCTGGCCAAGTTTGGGCAGCATCGTGGGCAGCATGGAGAGCAGCATGAAGGGATTCTGGGAGTCTTGCTGCACGGGGCTCAAGTTCCCAGAAAGCTTTTCATCATCTGCCAATCACACATACAATCATCACTTCCAAATGCATAAGGATGGACATATGTTAATATAAGTTAGGTCTAATGCATGTACAGCAGTTCCATTCAGCCCTACTTGAGGTGCAGCACTCCCAGTGGCGTTGAACCAGCTCTTTCATCCAGCCAACCAGCTGCCGCCACACGTCGTCAAACAGGAGGTCGAGAACAGCTTGGCGGCGACAGCGGTACGGCGAGACAGGGGGCAAACAGTGATACCTTCGATCAGACTCTGAACAATCCTGCTCCCACTCATCCTCCCTATAGAAGACACATATAATACATATTTGAACAAAACTGGACAATACACTGACTGTTTAGTTTCTGGAATAAGAACACTGATGTGTAGCAGGAGGAAAGTGAGTAACTCACAAGTCCCTGCTATCAAAAGCCAGGTATTCCTCCATCAGACCCTCCACTTCAATCACTCTCGGTTTGTCATGAATGCTGGAGCCACTGGAGGTGCCAGGAGGCCCTTCCACCTCTGCTGAGAAAGACTTGATCAGGGCTGCTCTTCTGCCTTGCACATTCAACCTTTCAACCCAAGACAAGAGCGCACATAGTTAAGCACCTTAACGTGTACACATAAAACGCTACGCTCACAGACACAAGCCCACACATGCTGTATGTTTTCTACAAATAATAAATAAGCTTGAATACAGATGACAACTTCAGACGGTCAAGCAGAAGGAACATCCCGCCACACATTTTTACAGTATACCCATGCATGCACAAGCTCACACTAACACTGCAGACTCAGTTTAGTCCAACAGTGGCCTGGTTACAACCAGTATACCATTAAAAGAGACAGTCCTAGCTAACTATCCACTGCAGCTAACCAAAATGACTTTGGCCCACAGACTTGATTAACAAGCCAGAGCATCTAGGTCACAAAACCACAGTCAGCCACGACTGCTCTATAATTGATGCTCTAACACAGAGGCAGAATATTTCTGACAAATGTATTTAAATAATAATAAAGCAACACACGGTAAGACTTTGCTAATATCAATCTCTTTCGATTAAGCAGTGCTATATGTGTTAAAAATGAAGGGAACGTGTACCATACAGCAGAGAAATGTGTCCAACAGGTGAACTTTGACCTCATGTGTCCTTCTCCTATCAGACAGACAGTCTACCAGTGAGTCAGTGCAATTAAGACTTACTCTATGCCGCCCTTATCTTTCTCCTGGGGCTTCACACTGCTCTCTTTGCCTGCTGATGGGCTGCTGGCAGGGCTGCCCTTCCCTGAAGTAGCATACCACTGGAAGCCATCATCACTGGGACACACCAGCTGAGTCCCCAGGATCCTGAGTGACACACACACAATGAGTAATTAAGTAAATATAAGTACATATATAGTATAATAATCATTTATAATAAGTTTTCCTGCAAAAATTCAATTTGCGTTTGTGGTAGTAGGTCGTAAACTCCGATAACAAACCGAAGATGCGGGAAACGCGTGGCCCACTGCTGACATTCATTCTGCAGCCCCTGGAGTATCCCTCCTCCGCTGCCTCTCCCCTCATACAGCTCTTTGTCAATCTCCTCAAACATTTGCTGTACCTGCCGTGACGCTGCCTTGTCGAACTCCTACGGGACGGAAAAACAGAAAGAGGTAGAAACACAGGAAGGAGAGCGAGTCATTCCTCTGTTCTCTGTTCTCATAGACTGGCTCAGTGATTGAAAGCTGCTGCTTTTCAGTCTGTTCATTAGTTATTGGCAAAACACTGCTATTCTTTTATTTTTTTTATCTCATGGCAAGCTTCAACATGCATAATAATTAGCTTCTACAGCCCCTTGGGATGCGTGTATGCGCTTGTGGTCAAACTGGATTGTTCATATGCTGTAACATAAAAACAAGAGAGATAAGGTGAGTTAGGAGTGAGTTAGTTTGTGTAACTGAGATTGGTTTTTTTTTTTTCTTCTCAGAAGCAGCTTGAGGATAACAAACTAAATAAATCATTGAGTCCTGGAAAAGTTTTGTAGAAGCAGCCGAGGCTAGAAAGCACAGCATAATAACAAACCAACACCCAGTGGAACCAGGCTTTGCATATTCAAAGAAGCAGCAGACAAACAAGGCATCCACCACTCTGTACCGAGACTGGTTGTATGCAGTTCTGTGGTTTTTCACAGGTTTACCAAAAGGTGACAAATGTCAGTAAGCAAATCAAAATCTGACATTAAAACGCGCATGAGAGTACGTGGAGTCTTTTGATCTTTGCAACAGAATAACAGAGAGGACAGAAAACTGCTAGAGGGCAAACAGTGCTGTGTGTGTGTGTGTGTGTGTGTGCACGCTTGAGTACGTTTCCTGTGTGACAGAAAGACAAATCATCCCTTCAGATCCTTTTTTCGCAGGAGTAGACTTACATCATAGCCCCAGGAGAAAACAGAGCTCCTCTCTGTAGAGATGCCAGTGCCGGTGGAGCTGTGGATACCTGACCAGGACTGGTTGGAGTCTACTGAGATGACGGTGGGACAGTCAGAGTGGCCTGAGGCAGCAGACGTCTCTGAGCTACACAGACACGGTCAAGGGAGTTGTGAGATTAACGCACAGTTGGAGAATCAATGTATCCACACACACATAAGTAGATTCAAACACTTTATATGTCACAGCAGAAACCAGGTCTCTGCTATAGAAACCCTTACTGGTGGTGGTTGCTGACATAATCATAGGCAAGGTTTCAAAGTGGAAAATAAAGGGCAAATGTCAAAGTCACTGAATATTCCTCCGGCCTGCCTCATTACTCATTCTTTTAACTGCACATGTGAAGGAGGCAATGTGATATCAATGAATCCACTGCTTCTGGGTGTCTCGTTTCACACAGCGAGAGCCCTGAGAATCAGCTGTCCACTCAAGATGGTGTAACGTTACAAAACACACAGGCAAGAGTTTCCGCGTGTGCTACTTGGAAGTGGTTTGATCTTTGCCATATTCTGCTGTTGCCAAGGTTTGTCTCGCCGCAGAACAACCCAGGACTCGGTTACCTGTTGTGAGCGGAGACGGCTTCCTGGAGGTCATGGAGGTAGCGCTGAGGGGTTTGGTTATCGTCTGCTTCCTCTGGGAGAGGGTGGTGGTCGAGGCTGCTTCGGGACAACCCACGACTGCGTAAAAAGACAGATTGTGGACGTTGGTTTAAAGAAAAAAGTCTAGTTTAAACAGTGAGTGTGTAATCGTCTTCGTATTAAAGCGGTAGATTATTTCCCCAAGTGGTTGAATCCAGACACCAATGAAAACAGTGTGAGATGAAATAAAAGTTAGGATGATGTTCTATATGGCTGTGGTCTATTTCCTGGTGATTTTGCATGTCTTTAAATACAAATGGAGTTTTTTTTGTTTGTTTTTTTACTGTCGACCATTTCCTAAAACATCAGCATGAAAAAAAACAACTAAATATTGTTACTTCAAATAATAGGAGGGCTTAGTAGTTCACCAGCTGAACTGATGGGTCGTCGTGCACTGTATGTGACGTTTGTCTAAACGAGGAGACAGACCTTGATCAATATCAATCAATCAATCAATAGAAATATAATTTCACACAGTCATTCGACAGTGGTGGAGAAGTCAATCACTCATTTCAGTGTAGAATAACAGCAGCCAGCCCCTGACAGCTGGGGGGCCTGGTTTCCAGTGCTTTCAACCCCTTAATGTTACAATACTCACATCTCTAGTTTGTGTGATACAGGTCTTCTGCTGTACCGTGAAATCATTCTCCTTCGTGTCCGTTTTAAAGGCTCAAGCCCTCGTCTCTCATTCCCGCCTCCGCGTCCTGGACTCGCTCGGAACAGTTTGGAGGGAGGTCTGACATTTCTCTGTCTCTGGTCCGTTAGATGAACAGCCTCGGTGCAAGGAACCAGGACTGGGCTTTGGCTACAGACACTAACGTTGTTTTCTAACAGCTGGTGTTAGGAGGAGGCTACGTCTAACAACAAGCGAGCTAACGGATGGATGAAACATCAACAAGGCACGAAGAACGCCGAATAAGTCCCTCAAAACACTCCCTCTGCTAGATGGACCTTGCTACACTAAATTAGCATCTTGTGTCGCCCAGCAGTCGCCTGTGAATTACATTTTTAAATACGGGGGGGGGTTAAACGTTAGTGGAGCTAGCAGTTAGCTATCGCCACCTCAGAAGATTTCCTCTGCTAATGTTAGCACCACCAACAACAATAACACGGCTGCCATGGATACGCAGCTTCGCACCCCCCGTGGTCTCACGGGAAATAGATTTCGGACGAGCGCAAAATAGCCGTTTCACTATTGGTTCTTTCACTACAACTCCCAGTGTTCATTGCGACAACGTGTTTGCGTTCTTGAAATATATCCGGTGGCGGTGTGGGTTGGATTCAACAAGCACACTATGTGATTCATTATTTTCATTAAATGGAGTAGAAACGCGGTATATTCTGGATGTATATTGTGTATAAGATAGATTCTTTTTTTTATCCTGTAGAACAACGAATAATTGGGTAATTTAAAATGTAGGAACTCGTGTTTTACGCGAATGGGCTAGTCGAGTGGGATTCACTGTAGGACCTAAACAGAGACAGATGGCGTGATAGAAACGTACGAAGAGAGGAGAGAAGTTTCATTTTTCTCACACTGAAATCTTTGCGGACTTCATTGATATAAGGTCTGACATTTAAAAACAAGACAAAGTAAGACTGACCGACACTTTGAAGAGATTGTTTTGAATATCAACAGTAATATATACTACAAATGCCCTACTTATATGCCTGTATATGACTTTAGCCTGCTGTGTTTCTTAGCAGGTCTTTTTTTAAAACTACTACAATGGACGCCGTGCAGAGGAGAGTGATGGAGGAGGACGTGGTTCAGTACAAACTCTTCTTCATCCAACCAGACGGTCCAACTTCACAGCAGACTGAGGAACATCTCACACACCTGGTGGAGGAGATCATGGCAAAGGTTGCCCCACTCCTGATACAATACATCTGGCAGCACCAGTCATTCAACCTCAAGTATCATCCTGAGAAAGGTACAGTGTTGTCAAGTTCACCCTGATTTAAATATTGGTACCGCCTGTCTGTGCTGAAAACGGATATGTGTTTCATTTTATTGACAGGAGGTGTCCCTGCTCACATTGGAGGGAGCACTCAGTTTGGGGACAATGTGGAGGACGAGTGGTTTATTGTTTACCTCCTGCAGCAAATCACAGAGGCGTTCCCACAGTTGGCAGCCAGGTGAGACAAAATGTGCTTTGAGTTTATGGATCAGTGTAAGCTGTTTGTCATTTGCCTCTCTTCTTCTAACTTCAATTCTATGTTTGTGTGTGAAGAGTTGAAGACAATGATGGAGAGTTTCTTCTGATTGAAGCAGCAGATTATCTTCCCAAGTGGCTGAATCCAGACACCAGTGAAAACAGGGTGAGTTGACCAGATAAGAAGGCAGGTGTGATGATTTTATTTTATAAGTAATAGTCTTTTGCCATCATTTGTATTCACGATAACCCTTCTTTCCCTACTCATTCTCCTTTGCAGGTCTTCTTCTATAGGGGAGAGTTGCATATTCTGCCCTGTCCCTCCAAATCCAGTACAGTGGGGCTCTTGAAAGATGTGGTACCAAGTGTTGCACAGGCTCTAGCACTGCTCTCCACCCACCCAGAGGCCTGTCAGGCAAGCCCCAAGATTTGTTCAGTCCTGAGGAAGCGACTAGAAGGGTGAGAGGTCCTCATGTGTTAAAAGTCTATTATTAATCCGCAAATGTGTTTCAAATTCAACATCATTGACAAGTACGGATGCTCTGACCCAACCCTCAGCAAATAGAATTTTAAAGTTTAAAAGCAAAATGTCAGAATTCAAGGCTTCAAGGTGCAGAATCATTGTTGGATATTTGTTTTCTAGTTGCAGAAGCAGAAGAGAATACTTCAACAGCCTCATAAATATTGTATATAAGAGGATACAACAAGTATCCGGCTGGTATCAGCAGATACTGTAAATGTGTGAAATGTGAAAAAAAGCATACCGATGTAAACTTTGTCCTTAGGTACCCGGAGAAGATCAAGACTGGCCTCCATCGTGCCCACTGCTTCATACCTGCAGGCGTCGCCATGGTGTTGGCACAGCGACCAGACCTAGTCGCCCCTGCAGTGTCGGCCTTCTACCTGCGGGATCCAGTAGATCTGCAGGCGTGTCGAAGCTTCAAGACCTTTCCTCCTGATACGCGAGTCCTCACCTCGGTAAACACACTGAAAGATTCATGACTGTAGCGTTTTAGGCAAAAAGAAGAAGCTCTTTTAAAGGAAATATTCTTATTTCAAAACATTGCGTCTATGTTGATGATTGTGTTCGTTTCGTGCTCTAACTGTAAACACTGTTTGTGTTTCAGGTTTTTCAGTAGTATGTTTCAGCTTTTGTGTAATGTCTTAACCGTAACATTGTACTTCTATTTATATTTCTAGGTGACATTCACGCGTTGCCTGTACGCCCAGCTGCAGCAGCAACAGTTCACCCCAGACCGTAGGAGCGGCTTCACTCTGCCTCCTCGCTCTCATCCCAAGTACAAAGCCCACGAGCTCGGCATGAAACTGGTCAGCCATCATCTGTGTTTACTCTTCATCCTGATCCTTCCTTTGGAGTATTATGCTTTTATTAGGCACGTAGTAGGATGCAAGGTGACCTCTAATGAGGGTTTGTAGTTTTGTATTTGATTAAATGTCTGCCTCTCTGTGTGTGCGTGTCTCACTCCCAGGCCCATGGCTTCGAGATCCTGTGCTCTAAGTGCCAGTTGCCTTCATCAGAGCCCGATGCCCCCGTCAGTTGTAACCCTCAGTGGAAAAGCTTCATGGACAGTCTGATAAGAAACGGCTACTTCCGGGTTAGTCACACTTTTTGTATGGTGAGGTCAAGAGGAAGGGTGGCTACTTAGCTTCACCTGGAGTAGTAGGTTGGATGTAAAAGCACACATTGCTAAAGGTGGAATACAGTCAAAATGTCTCCACTTTAGAAATCTCAAGTTTTTGATCTTATTGTTGTCAAATGCAGGGAGAAATGGAAGGATCGGCCCGGTTCCGAGAACTGAAAAGATCTGCGGAAAACTTCTTCAAACAGTCTGTCGCCTCAAAATCGAGGTGAGGGCTGCGGCCGTGTGTGTGTGTGTGTGT